ATCGAAATAAAAATTAAAGAAAGATATGCTTTTTCCCCAGTTGGGGCAATTGCATACACGCACAGAAAGAGTGGGGTAATTGCAGATAGCTAGCCAAAATGACTGAGAAAATTCAAATGTGATGTAAATCAGTTTTTGATAAATCCCAATGATATCGATATCGCCGAAGTACTGGTGACAGTCACTAATGATAAAATAGTTTCTTTCAAAATCAATTAATTCGAAATAATCGAAATTTAAATTGATTACAAATAAAAAGACTGGTCACAATAAATAAAGTGTTTACGATCTTTTTTCTTTTTATAGGAAATATTCATTAAATAGTTCCATAAAGTTTTAAGTAAAGTTTTTGTATAACAGAGTAACAAGTGAAAATGACGTGAATGTGATCTGATCGACGTAAATATTAAAAAATAGGGTTTTCAATCAAAAGAGCGACAGCCAGGATACATCGTGACAAAATCTGTAAAGATTTATCACTGGAAGATCTGAAAACTCATCAAACTACAACGAAGGAGCAGATGTTATGATATCATTAAATTGTGTATCGAGATTTCAACGTCATAATACTCATATAATTCATTTTATGCTATTACTCCCACGTTATCCACTTCGATACTAACGTATAATTATATGCTATAAGTTGAGGACTTCCAGTAGTTTTGGTGTCTTATTCTTACGAAATCAAAGTAGTTATACTTGAACATAATACGCCTAAATAAATCCAATTCCTCGACTGGAAGCATATACAGTTATATGTTAGGGTAATAAACTGAATGTATGACAGACACTTGATAAGCTCTGATGCATACCAGGAGGGTTGAGTGCAGAAAAAGTCGTCGTTACTGGGTGTAACAGGATTTCTGCCATCACTCCATATTTGTAATATTGTTTTTATTATGAATAATAGATGGAGTAATAATGAATCTTTGAAAAAAATCTGTTATTGTAAAATCACGCTAATTCCATTTCCATAGAAATCAAAAATTTTCGTAAAAAGTTGTTTACTCATAGCTGTGCTTGCTATTTTTAAGTTTTGTTTAGTTTTGAAAAGAAAAAAGCGGAAATTGATCTACATTAATAAGAATTCACGTTTTATATTTTTTAGGTGCCGAACAATTTTGAACAACGTCTACAGATTTATTAAAAACTGATTTACATCATATTTGAATTTTCTCAGTCATTTTGGCTAGCTATCTGCAATTACCTCACTCTTTCTGTACGTGTATGCAATTGCCCCAAGTGGGGAAAAGCATATCTTTTTTTAATTTTTATTTCGATAACTATTTCAACATTATCATAAGTCTAACAGTAAGATTCTCATCGTTTGAAGAAAATCGCTTTCTCTATCGATCTGGGAAAAAATAATTAATCAATCTTTTCAGGTTGATGAGGAAATCGATTTTAAGTGATTTCATGTAAAATAAATGGGAATATTCAATTACCCCACGTCACACAGCTATTACTTGCAATTATCCCATACTAGGCAATTGCATATTATTTGTAGGGGCTACTAGTAAAAGAGCGATTCAACAACTTTCGATAATCGGTTTTTGGTAATTTCTACACTAGTTTGTAGAGAAGACATTCAACTACCCGTTAAAAAATTAGAAAAAAATTCTTAAAATTGACCCAGTTATGATAGGTACAAAAAAGGAGAGCGATTTTTCATGTGCAATAGCCTCACGCTACTCTATACAATAATTAAATTGGCGGTCGTTCTCTTTTCTTTATCAAAATCACAATAATCGCTGCATCCAAATAGACTAGAAGTTCTTAACAGAAATTTAAACGTATCGGAATACGACGAAAACAAGATTTTTTCATCATAACAAGACAACTTTTACGTTTACAATGCACTTAAAAGTTGTTTTTTGCTTTATTTCTGACGTAGAACATACACAAGAGACAACTCCATTTTACTTTGAAACATTCCAGAGACAAAACTTTCCTTTTATTTTTGTTGAAAATAATTGTTTTTCATGGTTTTACGAATAAAATGTAAACATACTCAAATAGAAAGCCAGATTAAAGTGTTCAAAAAGCTGGTTAAGTATTCTTGTTAGCTTAGATAATATTAGTACAATAAAAATTCATTCCAATTTCCTAAGCTTATTGACATACTTGATTGTCAACCCTATTAGTACATAGGAAAACATAAGAAAAAGAAACAAGACAATTAGCGGTTCACAAAATTCATATGACAATCGATGAAAATATCAGCGACTGTATAAACTTTAAAAATTTCAATATTTATTTGATGATTTTATTAGATTTTTCTCTAATATCTATATATTTATATCAAATGGAGGTATTCCTAAATTAGTCTTTAAAAGCAACGAATATATATATATATATATTTAAGAGCTGTTCTCCGTTTCGTTAAATGTCAAGGCTTATTTTTGCTTTAACATCCGTTGGAATCGGAGTAGCATTAGGCGGATACATTGTATTAAGGTTAATGACTTTTGTATCAACATCTTTTGGTGTTAAATATAATGTTGTTTTTGATTGTGACAATAAATCTAAGCGTTTCGTATTTTGCACATCGAAATAAATTTGTAATTTTTTTTCTAATGGCATATCGTCACCAAGATTGGCAATAAAATTTTGTATACGACTACCTTCAGCAATACCGTCAGCTTGATTTTCTTGCCGTTCATTTTCTTTTTTAATTTTTAATAATGTTCCAACTAATTTTTCTGCTTCAATCTGCCCATTTAAATCACGTAATTTAATTTCATTTTCAGCTTCTTGTTTTTCAATATTTTTTATACGATTGGTTTTTTCATCTATAATTTGTTTAAAGATCTTTTGAATTTCTGGATCTTTACAACGTTTTTGTAGGACCTCTACACGAATTACATTAACACCTCGCGATTCATAAAATGAATCATTGTTATCCGAATTGACTGAAGAAATTAATTTACTATTTGGCAATTCCATGAACTCTTTCATGTTATATTTTGATACTTGGCTCAGTATTTCAGAACGAGTATGGTTACCTAAAGGAGAGAAAAAGCAAATAACTTCCAGTTATTGTTAAAAAGAAAATGATCGTATTTAAGAGTCATTATAGATTAAGAACACTTGATTGATTATCTAAAGATGTTGTGTTATCGGATGGATATTAGACTATTTGAATTTTATACTACATAACATCTTATATGCATAATAGCTAAAACGGAGACTTGGAGGATTTTCCCTCCTTACTCACGCGCACTTATATTTGATTCCTCCAATGTTGTATGACTCTAAATTTTTTAGAAAATACAACACTGTTCAGATATAATAAAAATCAAAACGACTAATTTATTTCAAAGAATCGATTATTTAAAAGTGAAAATTAAGTCACTTAAACATGTAATCATAAATTTGAATGAGGATAGATTTATAGAAGTGATTTCTCATTTTTAAGTAATAAGTTTATTTGTTTTTGTCAATCAAACAGATCTTCGATTATATCTGAGGTGTGTTATTGAAATGCACTGTATGACGAAGATCATTTTGTACTTCACTTACTATCAACATCTTTTTCTTCTCAATCAATATTTATAATTTGTCTACTATCAAATTTTAATCGTTTTAGAGAAATACTTTATTAGATCATATAGAATTTCAACCTTTGCTAAACGTAAAATTTAACTTCTTTCTTAAAATCTTGTCGTATAGTTGATTGTCAAACTGAGAGAGTTAGAATAGAATTTGACACTTCAAAACTAGTCATTAGTTCTGCATGAAAATAGAACAACTTCTCGAGCAGATTGATTCCTATTCCTCACAAATACACTATTAGAATATTTAGTATGATGTAAATCATACATTAATAAATTCAATATAAAACTTACAAATATCTTCCGGTGGATCTTGTGTAACAAGAACAAGTTTATATAAATCTGTAATTTGCCAAAAAATAGAAACATCAAGAATGATTTCAACATTATCTGCTGTACGAACAAGAAATTCATAATCCATATCTATCAATAAACAACGAACAGAAAAACTTAAATGAAATAAATTTTTAAATCTAAATAATTTTACATTGATTTCTTGTATCAAATCGATCGACTTGAACAGTTGAACGGTGATCCTTTTTAAGATCATTCGACCATTGTTGCATATAAATTTGTTGATAGGGATAGATAAAAAATGACTTATCTTTAATACCATTTTTTAATATATGTTGACCATCCTTATCGATTAATATCATATTTTCATCTAGATTTTATCAATAGAAAAGTAAAATTGACTTTTAAAAATAAAACTTACATGGTGCTAATTTAATTAAGTTTCTTATTTCCATGAATTTTTGTGTAAATGATGGGATGAATTTTTGTGGCGTTGTTATTAATTCATCAAGACCTGTATCAAGATTTTTGACAAGTACAGCATTCTCTGTATCAATATTTATTATGTCAAATATATCATGATTATCAATTCTCATTAATGCTTCATATGGACCAAGTGCAAATGTTTTTGGACCTTTTTCAATACGCATAACACCTGTACGACTTTCGATTATTCGGCAATACTGTGTATGATTAAGAACGACATAACTATATATCGGTGAAATTTGATCATAGGCTTTTGGTAAAAATAATTTTGGACCTAAAAATGAATATTCGAATATTAATACGATTCATAATTCAATGTATCAATAATTATCTTATTTTATTGCATTAGAGAAAGTTTTTTACGCTCTCATTATAATAATTTCCTTTGATTTTTGTAGTAGATTTACAAATAGATTCATTTCTGCGCATGATTATTTTCTTATAAAATAAATATGCAATATGCGAAATAAAAAACATATCTAATGTAATATTTTATGTATTCAAATACCGATATTCCACTCATGGAAACTTTTTAAGGAAAAAAATAGGCGGCTATGCTTGATGAGAAACTTATACGTACGTATATAGAGTAACTGATAGAAATATGTATTTTTCTAGAAAAACATTAGAGTTTTCATCGGAAAACTACACATATCGAAATGTGGAAATCTATCATAATCTTATAGACATTTTTACTAAACTTGAATTAGTCATTTTCTATTATAATTTCTTTTTTGAAAAGTGAAAAAGAAATTCACAGTACATGAATGCATTGCGAGACATTTTTATGAGATTTATCATGATGAAATTTATTTCCATAAAACTGTTTGTTTTGTTAAAGACTGACATTTTTATATTATCAAGCTCATTATATCCGATTTATTCTCTAATATACCAGATGGGTGTGGGTGGGTGTGTGAGTGTGTGGATAGTTATTTCGACCTGAATAGCATTTTTTTCGCTTGAAACGATCAGCTTTGACACCAATCAGATATTTATCTAAGAAGTTTTTTTGAAGGTGCAATAATAGACTTCTTGGAAAAGTTTCATCGCTATTCTCTGAATGATGTTACGTCAACTTTTCCACGAATCGAATGGTTTTTATATCACATACGGAGATAATAAGACAAGAGAACAGCAAATAGTGATTACATTCAAAAGGCATGATAACACTAGTAAAGAGTACACGCAGTATGATAAAAACAAAATATTATCATGACATAATGGTCTTTATATTCTTTAATAGGTGAACGGAAAGGACATCGTAATGAATATTTTAGTTTGCATCCTTATCTGACAGGCAAAGAAAATAAATGAGTGAAACAGATCATTTAGCAATATTGATGAGATTATTATACAATAAAAGAAAGTAATCTTTGGATGATGCAAATCGTTTTACTTTGGAAAACTCTATCTATTACAGGATTTTTCTATTAAGACGAAAATCGAAGGTGTTATTGTACATTCTCTCACATCACATAAATAACTTAATCTAACTCACGTAATATTTTTCTAGTATCTATAAAGGCATTGTTTCAATAATCTTTTAACATGCGTACTATTCAATACCCAAATGATGTTGCAAGCATAACAACGAGAATACTTTCTTTTAGAAAAGTCATCATCATCTCATATTCTGCAAAATGATACTTGAAAAATATATATGTACATCTAACTTGATTTCACTTAGTTTACTATTCGTCATTCTTACCAGTAACTGTACTTCTTTCTCCAGTTGATTGATCCGTAACAATAAGATATTGTGTTGATGATAAATTGTACATATTTTGAATTTCTCCAATTTCATCATAAGGCTTTGGACAAAATAGTTGTGGACCACATTCAACTCGTTTCACTCCTGTACCTTTATCGGTTACAATAACATATTGTGTTGATGATAAATTAAGCATTGATTTTATTTCACTTATGTGATCATAAGGATTTCTACGTTTATAAATTTGTGGTCCACGTATAATTTCAATTAATTTCATTTCAGAATCAGTCAATAGATCGTCCTTTTCAGTTGTAGTTATTCTCTTCATTAAAGGTATATCGTGTTGACTATGAGATTTACCTGTGTCATTTGGATCAATAATATGTTTAACTATTATAAATTGATTATTTTGCAATGCGATTGATTTAACAACTCTTGCCTCCCACCAATTCGGAAAACAAAACCAGCCAGGACCATTGCGGATTTCTTTACCTGTTGGCTTATTAAGAACTATCGACTCATCATGATCAATAGCTATACAACAACCGAATTGAGTTGATTTACAAGCACCCATTACTTATTGATTTAACAAGCCGATTTTAATCTGAACAAATTCTTGAACAAAAAAGAAATGACAATGAGAATTGTTTCTGAGATAAATGAATAAATTCTGATTGGATCTTTTTATATTCATGACCCAGTCAAAAAGAAAAAGGCTGAGTTGCCCGCTACTCGAGTAAAAAAATGATAGCGTACGATAGCATCTGTAATATAGCGACAGAACGCAAGCGTCCTATCCTATCCTACAAGGCAACTCATTTTTCAACAGAGAATGAGAAAAACTGTCTAACCAATCAAATGGGTAATTCACTTCCTATCGATCGAGAGCGACAGAATAATTTATTTTTCCTCCTCTCTAACATAGTGATCTAGATATGTCGAAGATTCTAAAATAATAATAAAAAACATTTGGTGACATCTATCAATGCTTTCCACGCTTCAAAGATAATTATTATGTCTATTTGTTAAGGATCCCTGTGCCTTCTTGATGTTAATAACGCATGAGTACCATAACGATGGAACTACTTTATTATTGAAGAAAGAGGAGTATATATAGGGGGAATATGTGTCAGGGAATGTGTATACAAATGTCGATGAGTCAAGGAATTAACATATGACTGTAACACTATTGAACATATATTTATTATTTATTATTTTCAATAGGGCTCATCAAAGATTTATATATATATATATATGGAAAAGAAAACAAAAGAAAACGAAACACATCTATTTAAAAGTAACATCGATTCTTTGCTGTTATTGTAGTTGCAAGAGTAGTTTCATCATCATCATCATCATCATCATCGCCACTTAAAATTTGTGAATTACTCATAATCGGTATTGTTCCATTTGAATTTATTGGTTGAGTATAAATATTATCATATTCAGATTCAAGATTTGACATGACACTTTCAGATAAATTATCTGGTCTAGATGAACATATATCACTTAAATCTGAACGAGGCATTGATGATGATTCGGCTCTGTTCGGAAGTTTTTTAACATTATCTGATTGATGATTATAAGTTGTTCTATTTAACTGAGGATTATTTCCAAATGATAATGGCCTATTACGATATTTAAGAGATTCATGTCGAATAAGATTTGATGTTTGCGTTGAATTTTTTCTTAGTGGTTTATATCTGACATGATTATATGGACGTTTATTTGAAGGTGCAGATTTCGATTGTGAATTCGATTGATTTGTTAATGCAGTAAATGTATTTTCACTGACAGTATCTGATTCATCGTCAGTTGAATCATTTTTAATAACAGCATTATGCGACAGCCTACTCATTCTTTTGGTTTGAGGCGGTGGCGGAGTTTGTTTAACTTGATATTGAAATAGATTAAGTTGATCTTCAAGCCAACGTTGTAATAAATCACTATGAATGACTGTTGGAGATTCAGCTTGTTTAGAACGATATCTAGAACGAGAGAAAATATATATATATATTGGAAATGAAGTTTAATTTTCATATTTCTTTACTTTGAAGATTCATTGGCTTGTATAAAATCATGTAAATTACTATAACTTGATGAAAGACGTGTTCGTTGAGGATCTTTCGACTGATAAACAATATTTTGTGTCCATGGTTCATGCTGACGTTCAACAGATATTTCTGATAGAGCACTTTCAGATGTTTCAGCAATAAGTTTACGTGCTAAATTAAATGGCGCTGGTCGATATCTAGTAGCTTGTTGTTGGGATTGAGAGGAAACAACGGTTGGCTTAGCAATAGATACTTGTGACGTAGGAATAAGTGCTGGCATTGACGGTTGAGGTGGCATTGATGTTATTGTAACAATAGTTGATGTCGGTGAAGCAATACCTGCTGACTTTCCATTTGTTCGACTGCTAGTATCATCGTCATTGGTTGTCATATTAACTGTAAATGATAAATCACACGGACGACGTGGATAATAGCAATCATGAAGAGGGGCTGGTAGTGTAGGTTGCACAGGTTCTTGTTGTTGAATGTATGCATGATTAGATTTAGTACTTGGCAATGGTGATGATGGTATATCATCCCAACCAGAAAACGATGAAGTTGTTTCTTCATTAGTTGTTGATAAACTTCTCGATGGATTTTTAACATCTTTTGTTGTTTGTTCATGAAGTAATTGACGAAAATCTTCTTCTGTAAAACTTTTTCGTTCAACAGATAATTGTCGATTTGATGATGAGACTCGAGCTGATGGTGGTGGTGGTGGAGTTGATTTACATCGACTATTATCATCTATAACATTAAAAATAAAAAAGTCGATAGGTGTTTTCATTTAATATGGAAGAAAAATGTTTTTAACCTGTTGGCCCATTAAGCATTTGTTGTGTTAAAATTAAGCATTTACTACCACTTGTTTCTGATTGTACCATTGCTTCTCTTGATGACCAACAACTATTATCACTTAAATGTATCATACGTGGTACATAGAAATCTTTTGTTACTGGTGATGATATATTGTTTTTTGGTATTAAACGATTAGATAATTTTCTCATTGAACTGATTTGACGTTGAGAATTATTCGTCTTTGTCGTAGCATTTAATGCTTGTAAAAGCGTTTGACGATATGATTGAGTCTCGATGGACGAAAGATTATTCGATATTCGTACATGTTTTCGAGACGATGATGACGACGATGATGATTGTTTAAGAAGAGTTTGTTGTTCATTTAGAACAATAGATGAAGATGCTGTCGTTGTTGTTGTTGTTGTTGATGTTTGAATGTGATTTTGTTCTTTTTGATTATTCAATTTACAACGAGGTTCAGACGATTGGGAATGATGAGAATCATCTGTACTTGGAGATTTTTGAACAGTACCAACATTTGTATGGCCAATTGTAATTGGAAGAGCATTGCGACCCTGAAAAGAATTTTCATTAAATCTAATTAAAGACTGTTCTGAATGAATAATTGCTATTAAATTGACAAAATCGTCACATAGAAATAGAATTAATATCAAATCGAACTTGTTATGTTTAGGAAATTTTGTTTTCAATATTTCCACATCTACAAATTTAAAAGACCTATCATTTTTTTCGTAAAATCAATTGAATTCATAAGAAAACTTCTGAAAGTGATCGGAATTTTTCTTGAATCTACTTAGTTTTATTCAGTAACTTTTATTGTGAGGTGAGTTTTCGAAATATGATTCTGCGATTTTAAGCAGCTCTAGGCAACATGAAAGACTTCGACGAGCTAATCATGATCTTATATTCAGAAAAAATGATAGTGCTCGATTATTTGAACAGTTTTTTTAATTTCTATTCTCTATTTTATTCATGATACTTCTTTAAATAAATATCAATAAAAGCAAAAAAAAACAGTAGAACACAGCCTGTTGAAACTGAAATATTTAAAAGCTTATCATTACTATGTCACTGAATTAGTATTCCTAGAGAATCATCATCTGCTTCGAGAAAAAAAATAATTTTCTAGGTACAGTATTTATTTCATACCGAAATATTACATTTATTACGAGGATTAGTAGAGTCAATCAACGCATGTCCAATTAAAAAAATTCCTAAATACTACAGAGAAAACTAAAATTCAAACTTCAGAACCATTCTTCTATGATTTCTACATGATAATACGAAATTTATTATTCAAATAACTTTCTATTGTCTGAAAAAAGCTCTTTTATATGTTAAAAAACCATCGATACACTGCGAATGAATAAAAATAACTACGTCAATAGATTTACGAATTCTTTTTAACAAAGTTTTCAAGATGTGTTTTCTCTTCTCCTTACCTGAAAGACATTATCTCCAATGAGACGACCAAGTAGATAATAAATATTAGAATTGTTCGCCGTATTAATTTGTGTACTAACAATTGAACCAGCTGTTCGAAATAGATAGAGATCATTTAACAAATGATAAACTGTGGATGTTGCTAAACAATGATTCGGCTGTGTTTTACTCATCAGTAATTGTAAAAGCGTAATATGTTCACTCCATATATCAATTTTAGGATATTTTTCAAAATGAATTAATATTTCATGAACACAACCAATATGTAAACAAGCAGCAAGATGAATTGTTGATGATGACATTTGTTTTAAACGTTCATCAATTTGAAATAAAAGCTCAACTAATTGTTGAAGACTTTTTGTTGAATCATCTGTGTCGACATCAATTGAAAACATTATTTCTTTTACGGTTGATTTTCTATGCATAACTATATAGTTATATTTATCATTATTTCTTAACAAATATTCAATATCATTAAGATAATCAATAAGTAAACATTCATGTTCAATATTTAATGGTGAAAACTTGATAAATAATAATGCCATTCGATCATATTTTAAATGATAATGTTGAGCTAATGCTATATCGGAATCATTGCGTAAATAATAATTAATAACACGTAGCGGTAAATAAATTGATGTTTGCTTAACAAGTTCGTCGCGTTGTCGAATAATGAGCAGACGTTCATTATCGATTTGTTTAAGCCAGACAAAATCAATTTTTTCTAACCACTCACGAACATATGACGCTACGATTAATAATAAAGCGTGCAAGATTATTAATGTAAATACTGTATAATGTTGTAATGGATGAATTGATGGAAAATACGTGTCTGTTGATAACCATATATATTCAAATAAGCACAATTGAACTATTAAACAACTAACAATGAAGAATGCTTTTATTATCCACGAACATTGATGATATATTGAGCATAAATAAAGCGTATAGATCGGAGATGAAATCAGATAATCATGATATTGACGGTCGAATGATGATAACAATGGTGATAATACACTAGAAGAGTAAAACAAGATGAATATTAGATTCTACGCAATAAGAAAAGTGAACAATCAATTCTCAAAGCAAAAAAGATTGAATGCTGTTTATGACATCGAATAGGTAGGAATCTTATAAAATATTATTGTTTCATTAGTCTCTAATAGATCTTTGCTTCAAACTAAACGTAAGTACGAAATGGAAACAATCTTGTTACGAGATTGTACGAATCTAAATAAATTAAAAATTACTAAGATTTTGACAGACATAACTATAGACTAAATATTAGATTAAGAATAATAACAAAACAGAGATTGATACTAGTGAAAACGACAAAACCATAATATAATGGTAATATCATCATTTCAATATATAATTCTCTCATTCTTCAGTTTGTAGTTGTTTCAGGGGGAGGGAGGGGGGGGGGGGGGTTTGCCACAAAAAA